TTTTTGGATTTATATCCAATGATCCTCTTCGTGACTCTGGCTTTCCTGGAGTTGTCATCTCCAATTTACTTCCTTTATTCCAAAATCCTTATTCTGTCCCTATCAACTTCAAATTGTACTATTTAAATTCCAAAACTGGAAGTAATTAATTAATTAATCAATTTCGTAATCAATAAAAATATAAATTGATTTCAAATTTCTTATAACTTGATTATTACAACTTTTAAGACAAATTCATTTAAATTATTATATATTTTTCTCTTAAAATTTAATATTTAAAATTTTTAATAATTAATATCGGACAATATATTGCTAACCCTAATATTTTAATACTTGATGTTATTTATTTTATTATCTTCCCCCCTTATTTAAGTAAATACTTAATGAAATGACACTATTTTATATAAAATCAACTTTGCTTAATAGTTAATGTTAATTTCACTATTTCACTGTTTCACTGTTTCACTATTTCAATTTATCAATTGTCAAAACACAAATGTTTGGCCCTCTATTTGTCTACTTCTCTTTATTTTACTCCTCCCATATCCTCTGTACTCGAATATCGTCTGCTTCTCGTCCTCGTTATGTCGTCTTTCGTCTGCTTCTCTTCCTTGTCCGTCGTCGTCTTCTTCTCTTCCTTGTCCGTCGTCGTCTTCTTCTCGTCCTCGTATCACCTCTCGATTACTCCTCCACGTTGCTCTTATCCTCACACGTCTATCTTCTGCCCCTTTTGCTCCTTCCAATTCTCCAAATCTTCCAATTACATCAATTTCTTTCCTGCCGATCTATATCGTTTTTTCTCTATGGTCCAAGATGGCGCCGTCTCTTTTTCCACCCCGTCACTTCCTCCCTTTCAATCCCGTCCGCCCTTTCTTTGTTCCTTTCCTGTCTCTTGGTCCGTCCCTATCTCCTGCCTTCCGATTCCGTCACTTCCTTTCCTTCATCCGGTCCGATTGTTTATGAAGAAGGCTGGGATAGACTCAACAATCATGGCGTCAAGGTCGGTATTATTTACATTTATTTCTTTTCCTCAATCCGGGAGATGCCACCGGGTAGGGGGAGGAGGGGGTTCTTCGTCTCTTCGTCTCTTTTTATATTATATTATATAAATTAATTTCTATAGATCGGCCTGATTTTCAATTAGTTTCACCGATTTTCGCCAAATCTCCGCTTGCCCTTTAATCAATTTACCAAAATAGTTCTTTTATAGTCTTTTATTCTTTATACTTTCTTCACTTCTTTGTTCTTAATTCTTATTTTCTCCACCACTTTATTCTCCTTATCCTCCTTTTTCCCTCCTTCTCCGCTTTTTCAATTATTGACAAATTGGGAGCACTCTCCCGTTACCTGAAGGTGAAGTCTTTCTTTCTCCTCCCCAATTGGGGATTTCTTCAATCTTCCTCTTCTTCTGCTTAAGAGTGGGTTGGCGGCGGTAATACAAGCCTCGCGGTTTGATCCTTGCGGGGTGGCTCGCTTCCCCTATCCGGCTCGGTCCCTCTCGATTTCCCCTCCTTGAGGGGGGGGAAATCCCTGGGGTCTCAAGCCTCTTTGGGGTTCACGACACCTTTGCACTCAATCCGGCAAAGGGGGGAGCTTTTTAGCTCAACCAAACCACCACAACGCCGGTCCTCGTCGGGAGCTCTCTCTCGACGAGGCTATCCCTTCGCCATGTCCACAATGAAAACAGAAATAAAAGAAGAATTCGGACAGATAAGAAAGGATATAAACCAGCTGGATGGAGAAGTGAAAGAATTGAAAGCCTCTAAAGAGAAAATTGAGGGAATACAAACAGAGATGGCACAGAAAATAAAAGGATTGGATAGACAAAGGGAAAAAATAGAATTAGAACAAGAAAGATTGCTGCAAATGCAAATGGATTTCCAATTAAGACTTAGAAACATAATGGAAGATGACAAAGAAGATATAAGATTATTGATAATTAAAATCCTGGCAGACTGCCTGGAATGTGAAGAAGACGAATTGGAGCAGGAGGTGGATCAAGTTTATAGGATATCATCATTTTATTCCAGGAGGAATAAAACAGATAGAGATGTGATAGTGAAATTCACAAGGAAGAAGGTACGAGATGATGTGCTCTACAATAACAATAAAAAACCAATCTTTTTTAAAGGAAAAAAAGTGGCAGTGTTAAAAGAATTTCCGCAGATGACCTTAGCAAGAAGAAGAAAATATTTCTTTTTAACAGAAGAATTAAAGAAAAGAATGATAAGATTTAGGTGGGAAAGAAAAGAAGGGATAATGGTGACATACAATGAAGAAAGATATTGGCTGACATCTGAACAAAAGGCTAAGATATTTTACGAAAAGTTGATGAAACAGAAGGAAGGAGAGGATGAGAAAGGAGAAGGGGAAGAAGAAGAAGGAATGGGWGAAGAAGAAGAAGGAGAAGCAGAGGTAGAGGAAGTGGAAGAAAGAAGATTATCTACCCCGAGAAAAGGAGTGAAGGAAAAAAAGGCAAGATATAAATCACCAAAGGAGTACAGCTACTCGGGAAAAGAACCGAAACCACAAAGAAAGGTACTACGGAAAAAGGATGAAAAAGAAGGTCTGACCATGGAACAATTGTCAACTGCAACAGCGGAACCGGATTCTGGCGACATGGGATTGGGACTAGATCAAAATGAATAGAAYGATGGAGAGGCAAATAAAATGTTTTTCAAACAACATCAATGGTATGAACTCCCCACAGAAAAGAAGGAAAGTATGGAAATGTCTGAAGAAACAGAATTTTGACGTAATAATGCTACAGGAAACCCATATTTGTGATAGACATGTAGCACACCTCTCGAAYAAAAAATTAGGAAAGGAATATTATTCGGCCTATGAAAAAAAGAAAAGAGGAGTGGTAGTATATGTAAAAGACGCGATAGATTCAGAATTGGCCTTTAAAGATGTAGAAGGAAGATGTGTGGCAGTGAAAATGATAATTGGAGACTCCAAAATATTGATTTGCAACATATATGCACCCAATGGACCAAAGAAGAAATTTGTGGAATATTTAAATACCAAATTAAAAGAAATAGAATTTGATGAATTGATTTTGGCAGGAGATTTTAATGGGGTTATTGATTGTCAAATAGACAAAAGTTGGAAGAAAAAGAAGTHTAAGGGAGGTAAACTCCCACAGAATTTTATTGACTTACAAAAAGATTTTGAATTGGAAGATGCATGGAGAAGTAGAAATAAAGACAAAAAGGATTATACCTTCTTCTCGAATAGACACCAATCCTGGTCTAGAATAGACATGGTGTGGATTACAAAGAACCTCTCTACCAAAGTGAAAGAGATTAATATCCTTCCACGAGATTTATCGGATCACTGCCCTTTAGAAATGGTTATAAACCATAAAAATTATTATCGAAAATGGAGATTAAATGAGAAYTTGATAAAAACAGAAGAAGATAAAGAATATTATAAGAAAATAATCCAGGACTATCAACAAATAAACAAATTGGAGGAAACGGAGCCACGAATGGTATGGGATGCCTTTAAGGCAGTTCTGAGAGGACATTTTATTCAACAAGGAGCAAGAAGAAATAGAGAAAGGAATAAAAGAATAAATGAGCTACTGGCAGAAATAGCAACTAAAGAATCGGAACTTAAAAAAAATCCATCAAAGCGAATAGAAAAACAATTGATGACACTGAAACAAGAGAAAAATTATGTGGAGTTGGAACTCCAATCAAGACAAATGAAATTTTTAAAGCAACAGGCCTTTGAAAATGCCAATAAACCGGGTAAATGGTTAGCGAACCAAGTTAGAAARAAAAGACAAATTAATCATATTGCTAAAATAACTACTAAAGAAAAGGAATTGAAGACGGATAAAGAAATCCTGGAGGAATTCAGGAGATTTTATACACAATTATACACAAAAGATGATATAAGGAAAGAGGATATTATGGAATATATTGGTCAAATGAAGCTAGACAAAATAACAGATGAAGACAGAGAAGAATTGAATAAAGAGATAACAGAGGAAGAAATAGAGAAAGCCATAAATAAAATGAATGTAGACAAGGCCCCTGGACCAGATGGATTTACGGCAGGATTTTACAAATCGTTCAAACAACAATTAATACCGACTTTTAAAGTCATTGCGAATGAAGCATTGAAATATCGAAAGGTTCCAGACTCCTGGAAGGAGGCAGAGATYACTGTGATACATAAAGAAGGCTCTCCAGAAACTGATATTAA